TGTACATGTATGTATATATTAAACATCTAGGTTGAACTGAAGGTTTCCGTTTGTAAAAGCTGTTATATATTTTTACAATTGTAGTAATTATCTAGCTTCCTGCTATTCTTTCATTTTACATGTGTAACGATTTGTAGCTTTTTGTTTGTTTGTTTGTTTGGTCTTTATTGACCAGAGTTCCTGGATTGTCTCAAATGGGCCTGGCACGTTCCTTGTCAAGAAATATTTCCTCCCTTTTCAACATTAGGGACTCTTTTCCCTCTTAACCTTTGGCCTGTTGGATATGGAGTTATTGGGAAGTTGTTGTGTATGACTTTAAAAAATGGCAGCAATTTGAACGCTGCGGTGTTGGAAAACAGTGGTAAAAATGGAACCCAGAAAAAAGTGCTGTGTCCCCTCTGCAAATTTGGAAAGGTATACACAGTATGAAGAATGCTTACTGGTTTGATCTATGAATGTTTGTTTTGGGATATTTGGTGCAAAAGTTATTCCAGACTCTTCAGATCCAGAGACACTCCTAATTTTATGGTTAGTTTAGAAAACAAAGCAATATAAACCTGAGATTTGTGCTTGCTAAAGGAAATACAAATTTTAAAGAAGCAAACAAGAAAGAAAGAAAATATAGACTAATACCACTGTTCTCATCTTCTGACTCTAATTCCTTCTCAGTTTCTACTCCTGCCACTCAGAAGGACCTGTTCCAAGAGTGCAGGCTTCTTAGCTGAGGAAAGGGGCTGAGGTCATTTGTTCTCTCAAGGAGCTTGTGGACCATGACAACTCCATGTGGGGGCAGATTGTAATCGAAGAAAGAGGCTCCATATTGAGATAAGAAGCAAGTCAATAGGGGCAAAACCAGGATATTAAGAGGGTGGTTCATCTTTAGATGTTTTTCATCTTGCAAAAGCAAAAATCTGTACCTATTAAATACTAAATCCTCATTTTGCCCTCCTCCCAGCCCCTGGCAACCACCATTCTTTTTTCTGTTCCCATGAATTGGACTACTCTCAGTACCTAATATAAGTGAAGACAAATACTTTTGTCCTTTTGCGCCTGGCTTTTTTTTACTGATATAATCTCCTCAAGGTTTATCTACCTCTCTAGAGGTGACAGAATTTCCTTGATCAGTGATTTCTTACTTATGCAGGTGTTTCAGTTGCCCTACACAGTGCAGAGTCTTCACTCCCTACATGAAATTCTCCTCAAATTTCTGTTTTCCTAAGGAGTAAAAAGAGTGTTCCTTAAAAGATTTTAAAAAATGTTTGGTACATACTGATGTCCATAACAGCATTATTCACAAATAGCCAAAATTTAGAAGTAATCCACCTGTCAATCAAGAGATGAATGAATAAAAAAACTGGCATATTTGTATGATGAAATATAATTCACCCTTAAAAAGGAAGGAAATTCTGACACATGTTGCAACATAGATGAACCTTGGAAACATTGTGTTTTTTAAACTTTTTTATTGTATTTTTCTATTACCATTTAGCCCCTTTATACCCTCCACCCTGCTCCAATTACCACACTGTTGTCTATGTCCATGAGTCCTTTTTCCTTTTTGCTTGATCCCTAACGTCCTTCCTATAGCTGTCATACTGCTTTCTATCTATCTATGAATCTGTCTCTATTTTGCTTGTTGTGCAGTTTGTTCATCAGATTCCACATGTGAATGAAATCATATGGTATTTGTCTTTCTCTGACTGGCTTATTTCACTTAGCATAATGTTCTCCAGGTCCATCCATGCTGTCACAGAGGGTAAAATTTTCTTCTTTATTTATGACCAAGTAGTATTCCATTGTGTAAATGTCCCATAGTTGTTTTATCCACTCATCTACTGATAAACACTTGGGCTGCTTCCATATCTTGGCAATTGGAAATAATGCTGCAGTGAACATAGGGGTGCTTATGTTATTTTGAATTAGTGTTTGGGGAAACATTATGTTAAGTGAAGTAAGCTAGATACAAAAGGACAACTATTGTATGTTTACACTTATATGAGGTACTAGGATAAGGCTAGCATAAGAAACAGTGATCTGAAGATAATTTCTACATTTTATGTTTATGAGAGTAACATAGTTCAATTTGTGACTATTTATGACAGTGTACTTATTTGTGAAATGTCCAAATACTCCATTGACTTTATTTCTAGGAAGTTTTGCTTTCATGGTGAGTTGCTGCTTGCTCTCTTTATGAGATAACAAGAAATCTACCTTTCTCCTTTGCTAGGAACTAAAAGCTACTTTTTATGTGGATTTGTAGTTACTAGCTGGTCAAAAGTATTTTCCTGAGAATCATTAACCATCCTTAAATAAATAAATTCCTGTTTCTACTCACTCTGAGCACGGTGAGGCAGCTTGGTTACAATTGAGGTCTTCAATTCGGACAGCGGGTCCGTGTGACTTTAGACCATGTTTTACTGTCCAGAATGTCTTCACAGTGTGTCTGTTCCTATCACCTATCACACAGCTTCTTGGGGCATTCCATTTCTGTGATATGATTCTCCTCCTATCTTTGAAGTTCCTCCAAGTCCTCTCCAAATGCATTTTAATACACCACATTGCCTGTTTTTTAAACCAGATCATCTCAACTGTATCTTCCAAATCTCATTAAAAATACCCATCCATCTAACACTGCATCACTGTTTTATAGTGGTGCAGTGTTAGAAAAAACCAAAAACTTTATTGACATGGACAGTGTTCTCCACATATATAACATAGCTCCTAGTTTTTTCATCACTAGGGGTCTGAATTTTGATGCTAACTCTTAACAATTATTTTTCTTCCCTCAATTATCCAATCAAGTGTCAAATTCTCCAGTTTTTGCTTTAAAATTTTACATCTGATTTATCTTTTCTAATCTCAGAGTCACACTCTCTCATCTTCCTTCTACCTCCATTTCCCTCCCACTTTCCTCTCACTACCTAGATTGCTTAGTCCATTCAGGCTGCTAAAACAAAGTATGACAGACTGGATGCCTTGTAAACAACAAAACTTATTTCTCACAGTTTTGGAAGCTGTAAGTCTAAGGTTAGGGTGCAGTATGGTCAAAGCCCTCTTCCAGGTTCCAAACTACTTACTTGTCAGTGTCCTCAAAAGGTGAAAGGGGCAGGGATCTCTCTAAGGTCTCTTTTATAAGGGCACTAATCGCATCCATGAAGGCTGAGTCAAAAGCCCTACCTCTAAATACCATTGCGTTAGGAATTAGGATTTTAGCATATGAATTTTGTGGGGACACATTCTGTCCAGAACACTGGATTATTCCAATATCCTTCTAACAGGATTCTTTGTTACAACTCTCCTCTATCTAATTGATTTCCTATGTTGTTGCCAGATCTATTTTCATTCTTGGTATTTATAAAGGCTTTCCATAATGTGGCTCAAACTAAATATCTGGTCTAATTACTATTCCTCTAAGCATAGCCCAGGCCCAGCCAAATGAAATACTTACTGTCTCCTCATCATGTCCTGCATCTTCTCACCTAAATGCTCTAGCTCATGTTGTCAGGTCAGGGTGGAAAATGCTTCTCCCCCCAACCCCTAACTGCTGTCACTCAAAAACATTATCCATCCTTTATATGCCACCACCTTAATTAAACTTTTCCTGATTTTCTCCAAAGATGTGATCTCTCCCAGTTCTAACCTTCCTCTAGTCTTTTATATGTGGTTGTCTCTTGTGGCAAATAACATTTCCATCTTACAGTAAACTTACTTGTGTATTTCCCTCTCCTAAATAAACTTTTAAGATAATGAACCATGGTTCTTTAGCTACTTATCATTTGCTTCTTTATGTTTTCTGCTTAGATCAATGTCTTGCTTCCAAAGGTACTCAAAAAGTATTTAATGAATTGAAATTGGTTTAACTCCAAGAAAATAACTCAAAGAGGGGTTTACAAAGGGTGCTCTTTGTATAAAAATATTTATTCAGAACATTTAAAACATAATAAACAATCCAAAAGTTCAACAATAAGGGAATGGTTAGATAAATTAATGACAGGGCTCTGTCAATCAAGACTAAATGAATTAGGAGGTTTTGCTGAAATTAAAAATGACCAAAGTTTTATTCAAGGGATTTAGAGTTTGTAAATCCATAACACAGCTAGGTAATGCACAGAGTGTTCCGATGGAGAAAGAAAAATTGAGAGTTTTCACAGTAAAAAGTACAAGTCTGAAAAAAGCGAGTCCTGCATTCTTAGTCCATATATTGCTTCAAGATGGTAATCTTCCAGATATTCAATGGCCTGGAAGATGAAACATTCTTTTCTAAGCATGACAAGGGGTTAACTGTAAGAGATATATTTACATCTCCAGCACGTGAACATTCTGAAGTCCTTCAGGGGTTTATCTGTAAAATTTTGGTACCTCTGGGCACTGCTGCACAACTGAAAAATTAAAAAGTTTTAGTGCCCTGGCTAGTTAAAAGAGAATTGTTTCCTCTGCCTTAGTCTACTTGATTTTTTATAATTATCAGCTTGACAAGAGTGACTCCGTTTTATTTCTTCACTCTATTCCACGGCCCGAATCTAATTCATCTAATTCCCTGGCCCATAGGAAGTATCTAGGACGTATTAAATGAATAGTGTACACTGCCTTGGAATATTATGTAACCAAGTGTAATGGGGTTTAGGGAAAAAATAACTTTCACAAAACACTCGTATTACATCTACAAACAAACAAACAAACAAGCCCCAAAACCTATAGAAGCGCGTTAATAACCAGAGGAGGGTCAAGAAAGCCAAGGGTCACATTTGGACTCCAGTTTAAAAGGCGTCCTCTGACATTCTTTGACTCTCACCACAACCCCGGGCAGCACGCCCGGGAGGCATCCTTAACGCCGTTTTACTGGCAAGGAAAACAACTTACAAAGGTCAGAATCCTAGACTCCGCCTCCCGGAACCTGCCCTTTCCCTGCCTTCCCTCGGCAGCCGGGATTGGCGCTGCAGAGCTCGGTTTGCTCTTCTTCACCGTCACTCCTTTAGCAAACCGGTCCCAGAGCGGCGGCGGCCGCGAGGGGCAGGTGCCCGGGGAGGCGCCGCTGCCGGCAGCCGCGTTGCACTGCGGCGCAGTGGCCTCCGCGACCGGGAGTCCGGAAGTGCGGCCGGGGCAGCTCCTGCGTGCGCTGCGCGGACCCTCCCGGGCCACGCGCGCTCCGCTCCCCGGCGCGGTATGGCCGCAGTGCTGGCCTTCAGGGTGGTCGCGGGCCTGGCGGTCGCGGCACTCACAGCCGTACTCCTGGAGCACTACGGCCTGGCGGGCCAGACCTCGCCGCTGCCCCAGCCCCACGTCCCCCGGAGGCCGCACCCTGCGCCGGGCCCGGGAGCCGCCAATATGTTTTGGGGTCTGCAGGTGACGCAGGGGAGGCCTGGGGGGGGGGGTGGGTGCAGAGCTGGCACCACTTGGTGAGACGCGGGCAGTTTCCGTGGGGCACGACCGGTGCCTGTTAGGGCCCCCAACTCCGGACTGGGGTGGGGTTGGGGGTGGGGGTGAGGGTGGATTTCCGTCCTTGCCTGGGGCATTTTTTGATGCACTGTATCTTTGACTATTCCTAACCCCCGAGAGAGCCCCTGGGTCGCTCTGTCCCTGCTGCCTCTTCCTGACTCAGACGTCTCTGTTTAATACCTGCTTTTGGCAGATATCCGACATTCACCTGAGCAGGTTTCACGATCCAGGCAGAGCTGTAGACTTAGAGAAGTTTTGTTCTGAAACTGTTGACATCATTCAACCAGCTCTCGTCCTAGCAACAGGTAGGGAGGATTGCTGTGCTGTCCTGTTGTTCCGTGGTCTGGAAGGTACAAAGAATGCCAGCCAGGGCTGCAGCTCTTCCCTTTAGGGAAGTTGGGACCATGATAGCCCCAGCCCCCGGTCCTTCCTCTTGTAGAGGAAGTGACACGTAATTACATTTGCCTATGGATACCTGAGTCAAGATCCAGGCTACGAGGTTTGTCCTGGCAAGGTTTTGTTAGAGCAGTAGAAGCACGACTCGGTGTTCTGGTCTTAATGACTAACTGTATTTGTGTGTGTCTTTGTTGTTGCAGTCCTGAATTTGAGAGAGAATTAGGGAAAGCTGTTTAACCACAAATCAAGTTACCTTTTATTTAAAAAATATCTTTTCTATGTTCTGATATAGTTAGTTAATCTTATTATTATCAATTGTTTGAGGCTCACATGGCTCCTTTTCCTCATCCTTTGTTACATCTGTGACTTGGGTTCTCTAGAGTCTTCAAACCCCTAATCATTTGATCCTGAGCGGTTGGAGAAACAGCTAAAGGAGCATCAACCTTGTCTACTGGGGGATTCATCCCACCCACCTTACTGAAACCTCTCTACTAATAGGATGGAGTGGCAGTCCTTGTTTTGTGGAAAACTTCAAGTGTCTGTCTAGTTTTTTAGAAATTTGGGATTTCATTGGCCAAGCTATGATTTCCAGATTGCTTCTTGCTATCAAAATAATACTTGGTCAGATTATAACGGTGGCCATAGATATCAGGCACCTGCCCAGGCTGTTGGACTTTATTATAGTTTTCATTATAGTCCTATGCTCTCTTTAAAGAAATATTTTTTCACAACCCATTTCTAAAATCATAGGAGGTTGAACAGGCACTTGCTAACCTATAAGGTACAAATAAAGCCCTTGCTGAGAAAATTTAGATGGCTTGTTTTGGATATATATGGACTCATAAGTGGCTATGTTACACAAGTTGAGTGCTTTAAGTATCTGTTCCTGCAGTGTGTGTTAAAATAAATTGAACTTCATTGGGTTTATTTTGCATTGTGATTCAGTTGTTATGTAAATTTACAGGTGATCTGACAGATGCCAAAACAAAGTACCTGTGGGGATCCAGCCAGCAGGAGGTAGAATGGCAAACTTACCACGGTATTCTGAAGAAGACAAGGGTCATGGAAAAAACCAAGTGGCTTGATATCAAAGGAAATCATGGTTAGAGTCAAAACCCACGTGTAATTAAGACTGTATTTTTATTTCTTCCAGGAGTCTAAATTCTCCAATTTAGATTATAAAGTTATAAAATGGACATTATAGTATAGGTTTAGAGGTAGTGAAAGTCACAACTCTGAAATACAACTATAATGCGTGATTTTTAATCTTAAGACATCACTGTTGGCCTTTGAGGGGCAAGTTGATACAGTCCTTTCTTCTTACATGGGGAGAGAAAATGGATAATCAATTCCTAATTTTTAGATTATCATTGTTGTGTAGTAAGGAAATGAACTCTTTTCCAAAAGTATCCTTATCATAGATTTGTTTGTTTGTTTGTTTGACTTTCTCATTGGTTAGTTACTTTGTTTCACTTGATTATTCATTTCTGGTAAGTACCTAATTATATATTATTTTAAAAACCTACCTTTTTAAACAGATACGTCTATCTGGTGAAATACACAGATGTTGGTTTGATCAAAAAATGCCCTCCTACAAAACCAATAGGAATTATACATTGAAGACAGAATATCTAGTTTACAACTTTCTCTGTGATATTTGCATTTCTCTTTTTTTCCCTGATTAGTGGTACAACTCAAATTCTTTTGCAGTAAATAACAAATATGTGTATTTTTAAAAAAGTTTTCCAAGTGAGGGTGCTGACTTATTTCAAGTAAGAAATAACAAACAGACTTGTGTTTAAACAATTTGGATAGTCCTTTGGAGTTCATTATAATCTATTGGACTTTCATGGGCATAAATGCTTATGGTATATGTATATATACTTTCATGCTGTGCTAAGATAGGAGCAGAAACTAATCTTTACTAAAATATATAACAGTTTTTCTCTTACTTAGCAAGAGGCTTACATACACATTATTATTTCTTTTGGCATTAATTTCGTGTCCTAACGTGGTGTCCTAGAAAACGTTTTATGTACACTTGTAAAGTTTGTATATTCTGCTGCTTTGGGGTGAAATGCTTTGAAGATATCAATTAAATCCATTTGATCTAGTGTATTGTAGGCCTCTGTCTCCTTGTTGATTTTTTTTGTCTGGAGGATCTATCCATTGAAGTCAATAGGGTGTTAAAATCCCTTACTATTTTTTCTGTTGATCGCTTCCTTTATGTCCATCAAGATTTGCTTCACATATTTAGGTGCTCCTATGTTGGGTGCGTAAATGTTTACTAAGGTTATATTCTCTTGCTGGATTGTTCCCTTTATCATTATGTAGTGTCCTTCTTTGTTTCTTACTATAGCCTTAGTTTTTAAGTCTGTTTTATGGGATGTAAGTATTGCTACCCCAGCTTTTTTTCCCCTTTACATTGGCATGAAATATCTTTTTCCATCCATTTATTTTTAGTCTGTGTTTATCTTTTGATCTGAGATGTGTTTATTGGAGGCAGCATGTATATGGCTCTTGCTTTTTTTTACCACGACTGTGGAAGCTGAATGGTTTTATCCATTCAGCTACCCTTTGTCTTTTGGTTGAGGCATTTAAGCCATTTACATTTAAGGTGATTATTGATAGATACGTATTTAGTGCCATTTTATTGTTAGACTATTTTTTTCTCTGTTTTTTTTTCCCTTTCTCTTTTTCTTCTAAAGCAAGCCCTTCAAAATATGTTGCAGTGCTGGTTTGGTGTTAACAAACTCCTTTAGCTTTTTCTTGTCTGGGAAGCTCCTTATTTCTCCTTCGATTTTAAATGATACCCTTGCTGGGTAAAGTAGCCTTGGTTGCAGGTCCTTACTTTTCATCACCTTGAATATTTCATGCCACTCCCTTCTGGCCCAAAATGTTTCTTTTGAGAAATCAGATGACAGTCTAATTAGTGCTCCTTTGTATGTAACTACCTGCTTTTCTCTTGCAGCTTTTAGGATTTTTTCCTTGTCTTTAAGCATTGTCACTTTGTCTCGGTGTAGGCCTCTTTGGGTCCAATTTGTTTGGGACTCTCTGAGCTTCCTGGATTTGTGTGTCTTTTTCGTTCACCAGATTAGAGAAGTTTTCAGTCACTAATTCTTCAAATAGGTTCTTGACCCCTTGCTTGCTCTCTTCTCCTTCTGTTATTTCCATGATGCAGATGTTGTTACATTTCATGTTGTCAAAACTGTTTCTTAAGTTCTCCTTATTTAAAAAAAATTTTTCTTTTTGCTGCTCTGCCTGGGTGTTTTTTTTTCTACCTTGTGTGCCAAATCACTGATTCAATCTAATCTACTTCATCTAATCTACCCTTTATTCATTCCAGTGTATTATTTGCTTCAGATATTATATTCTTTATTTCTGACTGGTCCTTTTTCATGGTTTCTATGTCTTTTTTCATGCTGTTGAGTATCCTTATAATCATTACTCTAAACTCTCTATCTGATAAATTGCTTCCCTCCATTTCATCTAGCTCTTCTTCTGGAGAATTCTGTTCTTCCACTTGAGGTCTGTTTCTTTGTCTTCCCATTGTGGCTGCTTCTTTGTATTTGTTTATATGTATTAGGTTGATCTGCAAAGACTGTGGTGTAGGCCTCTGTCAGACACTGCTTGTGACTGGCCCTGGTCAACCTGACCTGTTTGGAGCTATCAGTGACCCACTGCATGTAAATCCCTCTGCTGGGGCTGTTTTTGTGAAGAAAGAACTAGGCTGTGTACCCAGGCTGGCTTTTATCAGCATCAGGCCCTGGGGAGGGTCAGCTGAAGTCTCATAGAGTTCACAAAAGTCTACCTTAGTTATTAAAATAATCAGTGATATAGCCTGAAGCTGTAATCAGTAGTTTGGCTTAAGCTCCACAGGGTGGGGTAGAGTAATTCCTGTGAGCAGGGCTATTGCTTCTCCTCAGACTGATGCCATTGGGAGAGGACTGCTCTGCCTGAGAAAGGTGGTTTCTGCAGTATGGGGCATGACTCAGCACAGGGATCCTAGTGGCTGTTCGTTCAGTTCTCTCCCCAGAGCCACCAACCCCAGACTCTCCTCCATCGTCCCTAGTTCACTCTGCCCTCCTTCTGCTCTAGTCTAGGGTAAGTGGCTGCAAATAAAATTTTGTGTGTTGGTCCCTTAAAAGGCTCTCTGAGTCTCCAGCTCTCTCTCTGCAGACAGAAACCCTGCAGATTTTTAAAGCTAGATGTTGTCTGGGTTCCTTTCTGGCTCTGGTGCTGTATTCTGGGGAGCCCAGCTTAGGGTTTAGACCCTATACTTCTTGGGGGGAGCCCCCTGACTGCTGAAGTATCCCATAGGCATCAAATATCAGCTGCTGCCTATGGGAGGCCAGTTAGCCTTCTTGTATCTCCTCTGCACTCCCTACCAGTCTCACTGCGGTGAAGTAATTTCTTCTGTCTGTCTGTGGTTATAAGGCTTCTCTCTAGCCAGAGTTCAGTTGGTTGTTCAGGATGAATTCTCTACAATTTGGTTGTAATTCCAGATTGGGAGGAGGTTAGTGTAGCTTCAACACACTCTTCTGCCACCTTGGATCCACTCGATGTATATTTTAAATAGTACATAATTCAAAGTATTCCTTATTCTCCAGTATACTAGATACCTTAAGTAAGTTTCCAGATAATCTGAATTGTATTTTCAAATTATAAAAATTATCAATCTAATTCATTGGCATTCTACCATTTAAAATATTATTGAAAGAATTATTTTTCTTTAATCGTCAGCATGTTTGCATATTTCTTTTTAATATAGATGATGTTTGCTCTTTTCTTTTTTATTAGATACATTCAATCTTCCAAGTCTGGAGAGTGTCGAGAATTATTACAGGTACTGTAATGAACAGAAGACAGAACATGATGTGTTATAAGAAGGGTACAGTCTATGAATGGGTAAAAACACTTTATAACAGATGAAATTTCTATTTATAGAAACTCTGGTAATTTAGAAAAGAAGGATTTTTTTCCTTTTTATGTTTGTGACAGGTTTTTTGTTTTTGTTTTGGGGCTTGTTCTTTCCTTTAATTGTTTTTGTTTCCGTTGGTCCTTTCAATATTACACAGAGACATTTTTTGCCCTTGATGCGTAGCAGAAGTCATTTAGACCAGAGCTTGTTAACTAGAGTACTATAGGTTTTAGGAATACTGAGGTAACTGATTTTCTGTCTTTGGGGTGGGTGAAAAGCCCAGTCAGTCACCCTTGGCTGCTTTGTCCTTACATTCCATTATGTCATACAAATATTAAAATTTTCTTTACGTGCCATGAATATGAAAAAGACCAAATGTAAAAGGATCTTTGAGTTAGAAAACCAATTCTATAATTTGAATGTGTTGAGATTCCTCTTTTGGTTGTAATTTCATGGTATTTCTGCATTGTCAGTGAAGTAGTGAATATTTATTAAGAGTCTATCATTACTTAGATAGTATGAGAGATACAAAAGTTAATATTAAAAATACAGCCTCTACCTTCAAGGAAGTTTGTCTCGCTAAGGGAGATAAAAATTAGAAAAGAACAAGGAGGAATGGCTGATTACATGCTAGATTTTTTGTTACACATGATCATCACTATGGGAAATCAGAAAAGGCAGAGGTTACTTGGGGTGGACAGAGTAAAGACTTTTTTATTTTTAAAAAATTTATAAATTGGATATAATTGACATACAGTATTGTATAAGTTTAAGATGTAGAGCATGTTCATGTGCTACATTTATATATTGCAATATGATTACCACCATAGCTAAAACCTCTGTCATGTCACATAATTATCATTTCTTTTTTGTGATGAGAAGAATTAAGATCTAGTCTCTTTTCATTTTTGAAGTTATAATAAACATTGTTAACTATAGTTACTATACTGTGCATTAGGTTTTTAGAACTTACTTATCTAATAGTTGCAAGTTAGGGAAGATTCCATAAAAGAAATGAAAATTGTGTCCAGTCTTAAAAGATGGGTAGCTTTTGGAAGAGTAAGACTTCAAAGAGCATATTTTAGGCAAAACAAACAAACAAAAACCCTAGGTTTTAAAAGCTAAAATGAACTTTTGAGGGCAGTAAGGAAACTGGTTATCACAAAAATAAAGGTTCGTAATGAGGACTTATATGATATTGGTAGCTTGGGGCCATTTATGGACATCTTAAGTGAGAAGCATAGAAACTTAGATGGACACTAGTATTTTATAAAAAACAATTGCACAACAACAAAAGATAGGAATAAAAAATAAAAAAGAGGGAGATAATGAAGTTGTATAGATACCAAATAGGAGAGTCCTGCAGTAATCTGGTCATAATATGGAAGAGGCCTGAAATGAATAGAAGATGAATAGTTGAATAAAGTTCCTGGATAGGGGGATGGTAATATCAATATGAGGATGATAAGTCAAAAAGGATTGGTTAGATTGGTTAGCCCTGGCTGATGTGGCTCTGTGGACTGAGTGCCAGTCTGGGAACCAAAGGATTGCTGGTCCAATTCCCAGTCAGGGCACACGCTTGGGTTGTGGGCCAGGCCCCCAGTTGGGGGCATGTGAGAGGCAGCCGATTGATGGATCTCTGATACCTCTTGCACATTGATGTTTCTCTTCCTCTCTCCCTCCCATCTCCTTTGTCTAAAAATAAATAGATAAAAGTTAAAAAAAAGGAATTGGTTAATATATAATTAGAGTCACCATAACTTAAAAGAGGAGGTAGTCCTTCTTTGTTCATGTGAGAAAAGGACACAGATGAAAATCTTTCACTTTTATTAACAGTTTGTATCTTTGATTGTGACTATGAAAATGGAGTTAAGAAACATTTTCAAAGAATTAACAAGACTTATGATCTGACTGTTTATTGGGAAAGTAGTCACTTTAAAGTTTCTTACCTTTATATTTTTGTTTCTAACAGCCTAACCTTATCTGAGTTTAATAAATGGCATTTTGCTAGAGATATATAGAAATATCAACCTGAGGGGAAAAAAAATCTTAAATCTTGAGCATAAAAATGCCTCAGACAATGCCAAAATCCAGAATTCAAAAACATGTTATTAACTATCACATATTTTAACCTTTGCCTTTAAATATTTTTAAAATATTTTTAGATAGTTGGATTTTAATGTGTCAAAAATATAGGAATAGAAACATATGAGATTATAAAATCCTGAAGAAAAACTCTGAAAACAAATTAAGCAGGAAAATATAAATAAAATTTTTAATGATGAAAAAATCCTGAAATAGAAATTAAAGAAGAGAGGCAATAGAATTGACTGTTAATTGTAATAACTATGATAATATATTATTTCATGATGTATTTGATGGCTGTTGTGACTTAAACATAGCTCCCTGATAGCACATTAAGTTTCAGAAGTTTATTTGTATGTTTTCATATATGCTCTTAGGTAAAAAGTCATAGAAGACACTTAGATATTTTCTTATGTTCTGACATTTGAATAATATAGGTATGCACCAATGTAGTCTATAATTTCCTTCACATTTATTCAACAAATGCTTAACAGGTGGCTACCCATCCTTCCTCCCTACTCTCGACTCTTACAGATTATGGACAGCTGTCACCATTGACACTTAAGGTGGTGTGCACTTCCATTACTGGATGTGGACCCTGTATATGTTATCAGTGTATTTTCAGGAACTGAATAAGATTTACTGACCCATACCTAGACTACCATTTTTCTCCAGGTTTGATTACTTCTTTACAAGGTTTTATTGTGAGTTAAGTGTCTATAATCCTGTTGAAAGATGTAAAGTGTTTATATCTCACTGCATCAAGAATTCTACTAGGTACGTAGTAGGACCTCATATAATTGTTAATGTTTGGTAAGTACCATTGCACTGGATTCTGACCTCTTTTTAAATGTTTAGCGGACTGCTTGAACTCCACCCCCACCCCCACGCCTGCCCCTGCACTTCTCTGTTTTACTTGGTGACTTTGTGTTTTGGTTCCTGTCTTGGAGACAATGGGAAAAAATTTTTTACATTTCTTTTACAATTTATCCATCGTGGATCTAGTTCAGCCTGTTTCTCCTTCATGTCATGAAATTTCCTTTTCAAAGGAGGCAAAATATAATGTGATGTTAGGGAAGAAATTTAAACTTACTCTGTCTTATTATGATTGCACTAAAAGTTTTCTGTATTGTATTTTTTAGGAAATATTCTGCTGTACGCAGGGATGGCCCTTTCCATTATGTCTACAGTACTCCCTTTGGCAACTATTCTTTTATCTCTTTGGATGCCACCTTATATCTAGGGCCGAAGAGACCCTATAATTTCTTTGGAATTTTAGATGAGGTACAGTAAAAATCTCACTTCTTTTTGTAGCTAACATTTTTCTTAGATACATGTAACTCACTTAAAATTATCCTAGGTAAACAAGTCCTCCTCTAGAAATGCTTGAGAAAAAATTTTACTGTGGTTACAGGTATGGCCAAAATAAATTACTGGCCACTTCAGCACTATTATTGCTATCCCTATTCTTGTCCCAAAATTTGGGAAAGAAGTACCTCACTTTTTATGTTTATTTAGTGAACATTTATTAAATGTGTACTAAGTGCAAGATGCACTTAGCAAGGTTCAGGGCATACCATTTTGTATACTATATGGTATACTGCTAAAACCCTACAGTTGCCATTTTTTAATTAAAGGTCTATATTTTTTTAAGAGAAAGACAACCATTGAAATATATGTTTCTTTTCTTTTTTCTTTTTATTTTTTATTGTTCAAATACATTTGTCTCCATTTTCCCACCACCATTTTCCCCTGCCCCACTCACCCTTACCTCCCTCCCTCAATCCTTCCCCACTTTGGCTTTGTCCATGGATCCTTTATACATGTTCCTTGATTTGACCCTTGAGTTTCTTTTAAAGTATTTTTTTGTAATGTAGGTGAAAACTACATTACAAAATGGATAAAACTGCCTGCAAAGTCCATCTGAGAACTTCTCATTGCTCCTTGGTACAACAAATGTCAACTCATTAAATGCTTAGTGAGCACATACCCATATGCAAGATGTATGTGCCCATGTATAACAATACAAAGGGGATAAGATCAAGTCCTTGGCCTCTTAAGATATTTAATCTAGTGGTTGGGTATAAGACCAGTGCAGAGATAACTATAATAAAAGGCAGTATTTGCTAAGTGCTACAAGAATTCAAAGTGATAGGAGGGTTCAGAGGGGCTTGAAATCAAATGAACAGAATATTGTCTGGTCTGATACATTGTGTTGTATTAGGCATTTTATTTATTGAAGGTGTATTTTGTTTCCTACCTACCAAGTGTCCTTAGGCAAAGTTGATAATGTTATTTTTAAAATGTACTCCTTAGAATAATGTTTTTTAAGGTGTAATTAAAGGATCATCTGCATAAAAATCAGCTGGAGTCTTGTAAAATGAAGATTTCCAGGCTTTACCTGAGATGTATCAAATTAGAAAACTTGAGGGTAAGGTCCAGGAATTTATTGCTATAAGCACTTTACAGATAATATTAATGTATATTATATACATGCAAGTTATTTTTGAAATCAACTTCTTGAGGGATTATTTACATACAATAAAATTGTACTCATGTCAGCTGTTTGGAGGGTTTTGAGAAGTGTCTGTACTGGTGTAACTCTCACTACAATCAAGGCAGAACATTCCCATCACCCCAGAAAGTTCTCTTGTGAGCGAAGTCAGTCTCCATCCCCAGTCTCAGAGGACAACTACTTGGTTTTTTGTCAGCATAGATTAGTTTTGCTTTTTCTAGAATTTTATATAAAAAATGAGATCATTCAGAATGTATCTTGTACCCGTCTTCCTTTGCTCACTATAATGTTTCTGAGATTTATCCATATTATTGTATATATCAGTAGTTCTTTCTTTTTTATTGGTAAGTAGTATTCCATTGTATGGATATATGCAATTTGTTGATGGCTTCTAATTTTTGGCTGTTATGAGAAGAACTGTTAGAAACGTTCAGGTATAAGGCTTTCTGTGGACATATTTACATCTCGTTTTAGTGTTAGTATCCTCTATTAATTGCAGTGTGGTATACAGAGCTGAAAAGATTAGTGGTTCTTTATTTTTATAAAGAAATTTATAAATAAAAATTTATAAGTTAAAGATTATTTCTGTTTCCTTATCTATCAAATGGTGATAATGTTACAAAGCACAGAGATATTTTTAGGATCAAATGAATTATATTGCATGTGAAATAGTTTGAAACTTACAAAGGTCCATACAGGTCATTAATCAGCAGGGTTTCAGCCCAAAACATAATGTACTTATTCTTATGATACTTAAAGGGAATGGTTTAATCTGTTGACATTAGATTTTAGGCTAAGCTCTAATTAAAGATATTCTATTTTTCTCCCATTTCAGAAACGGATGGAGGAACTTTCATTACTGGCAAAGGAAAGTAGTCGGAGCAACCACAGTATTTGGTTTGGACACTATCCAACATCCACTATTCTTTCTCCATCACCAGGAATTCGGTCAATGATGAGGTGATGCAGGCTTCCAAAATCAAAATTAATTGTTTTTAATTATTTTATGTTGCTCTACCTGTCCTGCTTTCCTGAAGAGATATTTTTATTAGTTTGGCACCACCAGTTATCTTTGTTCATTATTCTATTTATTTTTCATTGTTTAGTTCAGCTACAGCTTATTTGTGTGGGCACCTCCATACACTTGGTGGACTGATGCCTGTTCTGCACACTCGTCACTTCCAGGGCACTTTGGAACTTGAAGTGGGAGACTGGAAGAATAATAGAAGGTAAGGGAACTACCTCACAGAGTAAAGCTTATACATGTTACATTCCCTAAAGTAATGATAGTTTTCTTATTGCCGTCATGGGTGATCCCAGTCAAGGAAAAACTTGTGATATCTCTATGTTTTTGAAGTAATATATGTACCTGGCAATCTTTGTCATTATGCAAAATCCTTGTTGCAACAGTTATGTTTGCTATCACTATGTTATATTGGATTTTCAAGACATAACCATTAGGAAATAGTTCTCAAACTCTAGTGTGCATAAGAATTATGCAGGATTTTACTAAAAATAAAAATTTCTAGGCTCTATCTCTAGAGATTTTGATTATGTTTGTCTGGGTTAGGACCCAAGAAACTGTATTTTAAAAGCACACCAGGCACTCTATTGACCACACTTTGACAAACACTAGGACTAGAAATATGTCATTTTTTTCTCCTTGAATTTTATATCTACTTTTCTAGTTATTGCTACAAGATGTTAGTGATTTAAGTTCTTCAAATAGATGATAGTTGGTTTTGTTAAGGTTAAAATCTTTCTAAGAAGAAATATAACTTATTTATCAAAAGCATACAGTATAATTAAATATACAGAGAGAATATATTATAATGTTGATAATGACTATTTAAGTGCAATAGTTTAAGTATACATGAGCATCATCTCATGTATATTTTGAAAGAACTATTTAAATGAAATAGTTTAAGTATAGATGATATCATTTCATTGTTTAATATTATCAATTGCTGTTTAATTTATTAAAACTCAATGCTCTGAAGATATTTAGGGACCCAATAAATATTTGCTGAGCTGAATATGTTTTGTTTCTAGTTTTAACTACCTCCATTAATTAAAAAGCAGCTTTACATTATAGGTGGTACTTACTCATTTTAGTTGGCTTTTTAAAAATCTATGTAAGAGCTACGCTTGAAGCCTGTAATTAGCTGGCTACTGTAATTACTTTGAACTAAAACCTACCTATTCATGACTGTGAAGCTGTGGGCTGGGCTGAGATGAGATTGCCTTTTACCAGGTAGCCTTCCTAATCCTGGATCATCCTCTTTATTTCTTATAAATACTACAGTTACAAGTTAAGTGATATTTATTATGAAACCATTTTTTGCCTTTCTCTTTCCACCTGCTCCCCTGTGTTCCAAGCCTGGGGTTTTATCCGGAGGTTTACTAAAAGAACCTAACCTTTACCTGCCCTTACTAAACATTTAAGTTGTATTAGTAAAATAGGTTTTAATAACAGTATATTAGAAATACTAGGCTAGGCTTTGTTGTGGATGCAAATAAACCTAGAAATATCAGTGGCTTAACAAAACAGATGTCTATTTTTCCATTCATGTAAAGCTGTTATGCGTCAGTCACGCTCTTTTCCACAGGGTGACAGGGATTGAGACTTCCTCCATCTTATTTTTCTTTTAAGATTTTATTTATTTATTTTTAGAGAGGGAAAGGGAAGGAGAAAGAGAGGGAGAGAAACGTTGATGTGTGAGAGATATCTCCGTTGCCTCTCACACACTCACAGTTGGGGACCTGGCCTGTAACCCAGGCATGTGCCCTGATTGGGAATCAAACTGGCAACCTTTTGGTTTGCAGGCTCGCACTCAATTCACTGAGCCACACGAGACAGGGTAAGACTTCCTCCATCTTTTAAGGCCACTATCTCAACACTTCCAAGGGAGGGAAGAGAATATGGGAACTCACACACACTCTTAAGATCTTGGGACCAGAAGTGTGATACATGTCACTTCTGTTCACAGCCCATTGGCCAGAACTAGTCCTATGGTCCCAGCATAATGCCAGGGAGACTGGGACATGCAGGGGAGCATGTGGAGTATTTGGTGAGCACTATTGTTTCTGCCATAGTTAATCATTTCTCAGTTCTAAAATTTAGAAAATACAAAACTTTGGTTATTCTTTAATGAGTATTTATACCTTTCATTGTGCATTTAGAAAATCAAGACAACTTATCTTTGGTTAATTTCTTTGGAATTGTAGAAATACAGATTTAAAAGACAAGTGAAAGGTTTCGAATTGTATTTAATATATTATGTAACGATGATATGAAGAATGTCAGGTATTAGGCTTATGATGGATATCTCAGGTTCAAAATAGTCAAAAGTATAGAAATTAAATGAATTAACTCAACAAGCATTTATTTAAAAAATTAGAGTGCATGCTATGTACCAGATATTTTTCTAGGGCACAGTTAAATTCCTTGCTTTAGACAGATCCTGGTTGTGACAAATGTGAGGTATAAAGTGATAGGGGCAAGGGAAGAAGAGAGAGAAACAATATTATTTACTTGGCATTCAAATTCATGATCTCAAAAAAGTGTACTTTTGTATTTTTATCTTTGTTCTGCATGTAATCTTCATGAATGAAGTGACTGAATTGCCTTACTGTTCTCTGGTCTCTAGGTACCGCATCTTTGCTTTTGATCATGACCTCTTTAGCTTTGCAGATTTGATCTTTGGCGAGTGGCCTGTGGTTCTTATCACCAATCCTAAGTCACTCCTCTATAGTTGTCCTAAACATGAACCATTGGAAAGACTCCTTCACTCAACACACATCAGGTATGTAAAAATTTTTCATAATTCACTTTTAGTTTGATATTGATATGGAGAATAAATCATTGTAACTGCATTCCCATGTAATATCTATGAGATATTCACTTTAGTTGTCTCAACAATCTAAACATTATGTAAAGATAAAATGCTTACTGTTTCATTCCAATTCAGTTAAAAAATATATTTTAAGCTGCTGAAAGTTTAAAAACCATCCAGAAACCCATAATCCTACCATTATTACTTTTGTATATTTTATCCTACCTTTTTATTTGCATGTTGTTATATTGCTGTAATCATAATGTACATATTCTTTTGTATAATACTTAAAAATATTTACATTATACATTAGAATTTTTTTTCATTTGGCCACATAGCCTTCCAAAAAAGTAAAAGCTATATAAACCTTATGGAATTGAATATTCAGTTGCCATGTGAATATGACAATGTGAATTAAGGAGATTAATAACCTTTCTCGAACACAAGGGCACTCTTTTAAATATACCTGTATATACTTTATACTCTTTTAAATTTTATTTTGAAAAATAATATAACCACCACTTTTAGAGAATAGGGTGTGGGATTATGTCTATCCCTCCCCCCACCAATAGAACTATTATTAATGATTTTGAGTTTATCTTAGCAGGCATTTTCTCTCTCTCTTTTTAAAAGATTTTATTTATTTATTTTTAGAGAGAGGGGAAGGGAGGGAGAAAGAGAGGTACAGAAACATCAATGTGCAAGAGAAACATTGATCAGTTGCCTCCCGCATGGCCCCAGCTGGGGATTGGGCCTGCAACCCAGGCATGTGCCCTGACCTGGAATCGAACTGGCGACCTTTCACTTTGTGGTAAGACACCCCACCCACTAAGCCACACCCAGTCAGGGCAGCAGGCATTCTCTTTTAGGCATATTTTTACATAGTTGTAAGCAGGGCACAGGCTATTTGAATTCCTACATTTTTTTCTTTCAACAGAGAAAATGTACAATTTATCTCACCATCTTCCTATCTTTCTGTGAATTTTTAGCTTTTTTTTCTAACTTGGAGATAAGTAATTGATATGTATAGAGTCTCCCTTCATTTGAGTAATTCTTTTAGATAACATTCTAGAAGTGGGATTCTAAGTGACAGAATTTGAATTCCTGTAAGAATGTTGATAAAGATTGCCCATTACCTTTTTTGTATCTGTCAACAAAATCATTATTCCTTTTTAAAAAACTATGGTAAAATGTACATACATAAAATTTACCATTTCAATAACCATTTTTAGGTGTACGGTTCAGTGGTATTATGTATCGTTGTGCAACTGTCACCATCATCTATCGCCAGAACTTGATTTTGCAAAACTGAAACTCTGCACCCATTCAGCAACAAGTCTCTTCTTCCTAACTCCCCCCAGCCCCTAGCAATCAACATTCTACTGTCTGTCTCTATGAATTTGACTACTCTAGTTACCTTATGTAAGTGGACTTTTTTGTCCTTTTGTGACCGGCTTATTTCACTTAGCATAATGTCCTCAAGGTTCACCCATGTTGTAGCATGTGTCAGAATTTCCTTCTTTTTAGATCCTGAATAATATTCCACTTTATGGATGTGCCACATTTTGTTTATCCATTCATCTGTCCATAGTCACTTGTGCTTTCACCTTTTGGCAACCGTGAACAGCGCTACTAGGAACATGGTTGTACAGATACCTGTTTAAATTCCTGCATTCAAAATTGTGTCCCTATTTTGAAAACTCTAATTCTTTTGGGTATCTATCCAGAAGTGCAATTGCTGGATCATGTAGTAATCACATATTTACATTTCTGAGGAACTACCGTACTGTTTTCCATAGTGGCTTTACCCTTTTACATTCCCACCACTAGTGTATAAGGTACCCAACCAATTACTTTTTAAAACAGACACTAATTTATAGGCCACCAGGCAATATGAGTGCCAATTTCACTGCACCCTTATCATTACTTGATATTGTACTTCTAAAAAGATTTACTATTTAATCTGGAAAAACAATATCAAGCTGTTTTAATATATTTTTTGATTACTAGTGAAGTGAAACATATATCTCTCAGTCGGGTTTTTTGATAGGCGCTGGATATCAGATTTAAGTGTTATATTCTCTGGGGCCTGGTAGCCTCAGTCTCATTTGTGGCATTGCTTCTTCCAGGTAGGTAGAAGAGCCAAAGGAGTGGATGGTAGACTTTACAATAGATTAGCAAACTGAGGTGTCTAACCTATATTCTCTTCTATGAGAAAAAACCAGGACATCTGGAGTTTATTCAGAAAGAACTTTGGATCTATTTCAGCTTGATTTGTCAAAAGAAAATTGACTTTCCTTTCTAAAAAAATAAAAGAATAGTTCCTAATTTCTCACCAGTTCAGGTTTGCTCCAAAAGTCACCATTCAGAAAGACTAGATCATACATATAGTGGTCCCTATAGTTGCACAGTGTGATGGTTCTGCCTATACTTACACATTTTCAGGTAATTATAGGGTTATTTTTATTTATAAAAATAATAACAAATACTAAAACCAAATTTTATATATGCTTTCATTTTAGAATTTTGGCCTTTTCGTTATCCTCCATTACTTCTGTCACAGTTAAGATTGATGGAGTTCATTTAGGGCAAGCTATTCATTTGTCTGGTCCTATTTTCACATTGAAGTGGAACCCCAGAAACTACAGTAATGGTACACATAACATAGAAGTAATTGTCCAGGTAAGTTAGTAATATTCAGTTTGCTATATAAATCATTAGGCTATAACCACACTGAACTCTAACTTGGATGTTTGTTTTGTCAGCTGGTAAAGATGAAACTAAGTGTAATAAAAAAATTGGATACATTGGATTTAGTATGTTCTGAAAATGGGCACGCAGGAGTAATTCTACTATTAGACTAAAAACTGATTAGAGGAAAAGAATGTGTAACTACTGGCCACAGACCCCTCCTATTTCTCACCTCAGGGAATCAATCTTTTGGGTGTTTTTTCTTTTCTTTTTTTTTCAGTTTTGGCTAGTGTCTTTTAAAAATGGGAAAAAATTCACCAACATACCAAAAGATAATAGGATGTCAGAAAACATGTATTTATGTATCCATGCCTTTGATTGCTGTCTCCAAGTACAGGAAAATCGTGTCACTATTTTGAAAGCTCTAGGACAAAGAATTTTCTAGGCATCAAAGGGTTTTTTTGTTTGAGGAGTATGCATTCATAGCATTACAGTAACAGTCTGCCTGGCATTATTCTGATTCAACCTGGGGGGCATTTAATACACTAGCACCTGCGAGAGTAGAAAGGATGATTGTTACCAAAATAGAGCAGTTTCATCAACAATATGGAACTCTTGAAGGGATAGATTGTGCTCAGAAATTAGTTTCTAAAAAAAATTCTGTCAATTTCTACAACTTTTTGATTTGATGACAGTTTTGAACTATTTAACCTAATATTAAGTCATTTTGAAACATGAAGTAATCCTTTAGGAAACACATGAAATTATTTTCATCACTTTTTTTTTGTTACAAAGAAGTATTTTGAGGAGGAAGAAGCTGTATACTGAGTTTACTGAGCTCACTGGGCTCGCCCTAAAGAGATGCCAGGATGCCAGGCAGTTAAATATTTTATTTAACTTCTATAACAATCCCATATGGGGAATAGCTTTATCCCCAATTCATAGATGAGGAGGAAACAAGAGAGGTCACTTTGCAATGCCACCACCTTTGAAGTGTTGTGCTTAGGAGGAAGAAGAAATACACAGGAAGGATCTGGAAGGAGGAATGGCTGGAGCTGAACTCTTTATGTCTTTCATATTAGAAGCTGGTCATTTAAAAAAGGCTTGAAGGTATAAGTGCACCTAATATTCCCTGTATTTGCAGTCATGGGTTAGAAGTAGGAGCAACCATAGGAGATCCACTCACTTTAGGAATGGGGAACTACCACATTCTTGGACTGCTTCAGAATCTCAGTTTCTGCAGTTTTATGAGGAAAAAACCTTTATATTCCTTGAGACATTTCTGGCTATTTATTTGAATCCGTAGTAAAAATATGACATCACATATACTTTTTATATGTTTAACATTTCTTGCAATATTATTGAGGTACAATTTACATATAAAACACTCTGTGTATTTAAAGAATACAATTTGGTGAGTTTTGATATACATACGTATTTATCCTTGAGACCACTACTACAATCAATATGATGTATCATCCTCAAAAGTTTTCTTGTGCCCTTAACTACTTTCTCACTACTCTCATTTCCAGGCAAAAAATGATCTGTTTTCTGTCTATATGTGTATAGACACCAGAAGCCTATAATATCTGGTTGTCTCTCTTTCAGTAATGTTAAGATTGATTAATATATTCAGGTATTGTTAACCCTATCCAATGCTGTGCTGGTAAATATTTAACAACCAACTTGGAGGATGTTTGGGGTGGGGACTGCTTTGTAGTGTTTCCCTGATTTATACCAGTTTCCGTGGAATAAATATACCTCGCAACAGAATATCAACCAGCTTGCAAGCTTGCAGAATTCCTGAAGATTTAACAATTGGCCATTGTGAGCCAGTCAAGCCAGCTCCAGCACACTGCTGGCTTATCCCTCCATTTGTTAGAAGCTCCCCACCAGCTTTTCATGAAGGATTTCTGGCAGCTATTGATGATCTTTGGCTAGATCCATTATTTCATTAAAAATGTAAAATGATACTCAAATTGCTACTCCTTATTATAGGACTATAGGACTATTAGAATGGTTTCAAATAAAGAAACCATTTGGCACCCAGATATAGAGTTCATATAGGAAAGGCAGGACAAATGCTTAATTCTTCCTCCACCCGCCGTTTTCTATACCAATTTTCAGAATAAAGAGTCACTTCTCTAGCACCTGCCAAAGGTAACCATTTAAATGAGTCTTCTAGTCTTAGTGTCATGAAGTCAATGTTTAAAAAAAATATGTGTTTCAATACATTGTATTTATTCTTTTTGATGCTTAAATTCCATCTTTGGCTAGTGGGAGCCTCTCCAATTTGGCCACTAAGTCCTCGGATACAATCCTAGTAATCTTTGTTAGTTTTCTTGCTTTGCAGTATGACAAGATATTCCAAGCTCTTCTTTTGCATTTCTTACTCAAGAACTGTAATCAGCCATTTTTCTAAAGAGCACTGGCTCCTTGTAGTGAAAAACAGTATTTTGAGATCACAATTGACACTGGTCCAGCTAGCTCACTGCTATTGGGTGTGTTATTTCTAGGCCTTTTCAGTGAACATAGGGAAATGTAGATTTTTTTTTTTTTACATAGAAAATACACTGTGAGTACTTGGTGATATTTCCAATTTAAAGCTAGAATTACAAGGTTTTAAAGAAGTTTTATGTAAAGTGCTTATAAAGAATCAAAAGTAAATGAAAAAAAGTAGCATGGGAGTTACTTCTCTGGTCTGCTTCTAACTAGGATTCTGCTGGAAGAACTAAGAGTGTTCACCACATATTTTCTCTTCAAGAAGACAATCAGCTCAGATTCAACCCTCTGGCATCATTTGTTCTTCTTACTGACCACTGCATGGTGGTGAGTAAATTCAACCTAATGTTATGTGTGTTTTCACTGGATTTGGTAGGTCCAAAGTCATAAACAGTCATGTGATGAGCAAGCTGAACCTTATAAAATGAAAAGTTTGGTTATTCATCTAGAAGAATAAAATGCTTTTAAAAGCATTAAAAGCAATTAAAAGAAACAACAGCATGGGCAAATAATACCTCGTTTGGGTTCTGGCTCTAACCAATGCCATAAAACCAGAATAACTTAGGGAATTATAGGGACTGTGCTAAGTTGGATTATGGATCTTTTAAAAATAATATTTCTTCTTGCTAAAATAATACATCCTAAATGTAGAAAACCTGGAAATTTTAGGAATAAAGCGAAACCATTCCCATGTTATTCTTTTATCATACCACCCATTATAACCATTGCATTTGTCATTATGATAGTCTATTTTTCTCTCATATAAATTTGTATATTAGATTTTAATATAAAATGGTAAATATACATTTAATTCTCTTTTGCTCTCTGACTTTTTTTTGCATGGAGGAATTTGTTTTGACTATTGTCTTACATCAATTTATATTATTTAATAACATGTTTATGGACTGCATTATATTGTCATAGATACACCTTAAATACTTCCCTATTGTTGAGTGGTTGTTTCCAGTTTTTCCCTCTATTATATAAATACTGCTTGTAACTAAGTTTTTGCATATAGTAGTTTTGGGGAGGAGCAGACACATTATTCTATACATAAACCATACAAAAGATATACACTACAATGTTAAGAAAATTTAAACCTCATTTAATTTCACCTGAGATTACTTCAGTGTGTATGCTCACAGACTTAAAATGTTAATTGGCTACTGTTAATTAATAATTTAATAATAATAATAATTCATAATTGTGACATGCCCACTGGCTTTCAGAGAGAGGGGAGGGGAGGGAGATGTGAGAGAAAAACATCTATAGGTGCCTCTTGTATGTACCTGACCAGGGACCGAACCTGCAACATAGGCATGTGCCCTGACCAGGAGTCAAACCCGCGACCTTTCAGTTTATGGGAAAATGCTCCAACCAACTGAGCCACACCGGCCAGGGCAAATTGATTATTATTTTAATTTGCCTTTTATTACTTGTGTGATTGAGTTTTTAAAAATATGACTAATAGGTATCTGTATCTCATTTTTACAAATCTTTTGTCTCATTTATTTTTCTTTTGGGGATTTTTAATAACCACTTAGATCAGGCTTTGGAAACTTTCATGTTCTTATAGATTACCTGGGAATATTAGTAAAGGCATATTCTAATTCAGGAGGGCTGAGATAGGGCCTGAGAGTCTGCATTCACAACAAGCTCAAGGTGATTCCAATGATAATTTGGGGACCATACTTTGAGAAACAAGGACCTAGAGTCCATGTCTCTTTATTGTGAGTTAATCTCTAAGTGAATGATTTCTTGATGGAGAAAGCAAAAAGAAAATGCAGTCTCTGTTCACTAAGCTGCAGGGTACTGTGTACTGTTTGTACTGTTTTTCTGTACTCTTTTGAAACTTTAAATTAAAGGCTAAACAAATTATGCTTCTCCTAAAACAATAAAAGTGGACTATTTTAATTTGATCATTTTTTATAGCTATATGAACTTACTTAGTTTCAACATTGGTCTAAGGATCAAAATTCTGAAAGAGTAATGCTGAAGCAACTTACAGTTTTCTTTTTTTGGTGGATCAGATGTTTGATTTTCTTTGACCATATATTTTTCTTATATAGTAATTTCTATAATGATGTCATTTCCATTTTTGTTAATGAGGCCATTTTAAAAACCTTAACCAAAGCTGTATCCATGTATCTAGTTCACATTAACATCTATTTCTCTGCAGGCCCGGATCCTTTTTGTGATGATCGTGCTGATCCAGCTCTCCATTCTTATTATTTTTAGGCACCGAGGATATCTAGAGTTTAAAGGTTAGTCATAGTTCCTTTTATTCTTAGAAGACTTTATTTTAAAGTATCACGTAGTGCCTTCACTATTACCAAGTGGTAAATATGAATATGTTATATTTGCCTGAGCTCTCTGAGGTGTTCACTTCAAACTCATAAGTTTTCCACAGTACTCTATCTTAAAAACAAAACAGAACAAAACTCTCAGTCATTTGCTGCTTCATGAGAATCACCCAAAATGGAGGGAAAAAATCACAATATAGCTCAAAATGACCAAACATCTCGGACAGACATTAAAGATCTTCCATAATCTGGCCTTATCTAACGTGTCATATTTTCAGCCAGTTACCTGTATTTCAGCCTAGGCAGTTTTTCATTGTTCATACCATGCTCATTTCCACTTCTGTGTTTTTGCCCAGGCTACCATCTCTAATTTAAATTATTTTTCTAAACTTGTCTAAATCTTAGCCTCCTTTAGGGCCCACTTCAAACCCTCTTTTTCCATATCATTTTCTCTAACCATTCCAGGTCATAATTAACTCTTGTTTCTCTGAGTCCCTATAGTCCTTCCTTCCTGATGATTAATTGATACATAATTAGCCAATCACTTGGCTCTACATAACCACTTCAAATGTATATACATTTTCTCCTTGGCCAAACCATAAGTTCTTCAATATAGGAGCTTTTGTTTTCTACTTCCGGTTTGTTTGCCACAGCACTCAGCAGTGAGTTTGTGCGTAATAGACAGTAAATACTTGTTGAATTAAATTTTCCTTATCCCTTCTTGGTACATATCTTACTGCATGTACACACACACACACACACACACACACACACATTCATTCATATATATTTATATATATGTATTTACTTTAAAAACTTTTATGAAAAAGTTCAAGAAACATTACTGCACACATAATTTTCCTGCATATAATGTAAATAAATAAATGTTTGAGGGAGGGCCACAGCCTCATTATGTGGGGATACCAATATCTTTGTGTAGTTACGAGCTTATTTAAAATTTACAGCGTATTTTTACCTGCATTATCTACTCAATCCTTATAACAACTCTGTGAAGTAGGCATTACTGTCCCCATTTTAAACATTAGAGAACTAGGGGGAGGTTATACAGGTTGTTCAAAGTCTCCTAGCTAGGAAGAGACAGAGGAGAGACTCAAAACCCAAGTCTTCCAACTCTAGGTCAATTCTTTTCTTTATACAACACTTCTGAACTTTAACTACAACTTGGAATCCCATGGGGAACTTAAAATGTCAGTGTCTACACAGTACCACTTATATCAGAATCTCTACAGGGATAGGACCTAAGCATCAGTAGGTTCCAACATGCAGTTAAGGCCGAGATGGTTCCAATGTGCAGTTAAGGCTGGGAAGCATGGCTCTGAAGCAGTATTTCTCAATCAGCCTGCTTAGAATTACCTGGGTTGCTGTCTAAACTCTCCCTCTCCCCAGGCCAAATAAATCAGAATCTCTGGAGGGTGAGACCTGGGTCTGAGTATTTTTTCTAAAAGTTCTGCCAAGTTATTCTAATGTACAGCCAAATGAGTGATTCGGTGCTTAAAGTTTAAAGCATAGCTGCCTTTAAGGTTAAAGGATTATTTATAGTAAATAATAATTGTTATAGGCAGATATATAGATTAATATTTTGACAAGTACCAAACAAGAACAAGAAAGAAGCTGAAAGAGGAATGAGTAGCAAGTACGAAATACACAAAGTGGGAAAAGTCATGCATTATCAGGCTTCGTATGAAAAATAACTGTCAGCACATTGAGCAATGTTATATTCTGGCCCATGAAGAAAGACATACTAATTACCTTACATGAGGCTATCTTATCATTGGGACCAGTTCTTTAAATAGTTTTCACCTCTAGTATTGCTCAGTGTGCACTATGCTTCCTGTCATAGTCTTCTGCTGACTGATTTATGGTCAGCCACATACATGAGTGAAATGGCTGGCTGGGGTTGAGGATCTATAGTACTTGGTCTTTGGCCACAGAATGGAGCTTCTCTGTGCAAAAACCTTGTACTTGGGATTTCTGGCACTAAATTTTAGGCTATGCTCATTTGGAGAGTTTTTTGGATCCCTTTCAATGGTAGTAAGTTAAGTAAGAGTTGAATAAATAAGCTGTGAGTTAAGAATTGTACCACATATGGGAAAGGAATATTTGAACAGATACTCATATTTAAGACTAGAATGGAGAAATTTTGATAGGCCTTTGATATATTTTGATATATCTTTGGGAAGTTTGTACATTTTTATACTAAATCCCTAGAAAACAAAGACTTGATCATCCTTTGAGTAGAGCATTATATTTCAAACATACATAAAGATAAATAGTACGGTCCATCTGGCAGGTATTTTTCTATCGTTTTCAGTCATTTAAAAAAGTATTTGTGTGCAAGTGCACACATGTGTGCATGTATGTGAGTGCATGTATTCCTCTCGACTACACCATTGCTTTGAATTTCCTACCCTTTGCAGTTCTAATTGGCTTATCAGGATTCCTGCCAATTTATGAATTTAAAGTGGTGTTATCTGAATAGTTACTATATAACAACAGATTTGCTGGGTGTGTAGGATAGCCCATGGAAATCTTCTAAAAATGTTATAAAGAAATTGAATTTTGCATGTGTTCATTGGATTTTTCAAATTTATTCTCTTTAGGACCTCCAGGATTTATAAATTTGACCTCATTTTCCCTTCATGTCTTGAGCAAAATAAACATCTTCTACTATTCTGTGTTGTTGCTGACTCTGTATACAGTGCTGGGTGAGTCAATTAAGAAACCTGCCAAGATATATATTGAGAATTTTGACAATAGAGTCATTTAGGCTTTTGAGAACCTAATGAATGTGGTACATGATTCCTTCATAAGTCATTTCCTTGGATATGGTCTTGGGAAATAAAGTTGTTTCTTATCATGTTTAAAGGACAGTTAGGCCCTGGTTGCGTGGCTCAGTTGGTTAGAGTGGCTCAGTTGGTTAGAGTGTCATCTCATACATCAAAAGGTTACAGGTTCGATTCCTGGTCAGGGCACATCCTAGGTTATAGGTTTGATCCCCAGTAAGGGTGTGTACGGGAGTAGCCAAGCAGAAGATAGTTAAGTTTAATTGCTATCTCCTCAGAGAAGCTTTCTTTGATTACCTTAAAGTTTTATCCTCTATTTCATCATGCCTTTCATTTCCTTCATTATTTTATCAGAATTTACGGTTATCTTCTGTGTTCATCATCTCTCCCCTCATTAGAATATCCACTGATGTCTTGTCACTCTTGTTCACCTCTATGCCCAGCACTAAGCATGATGCCTACTATGTAGTTCAGTAAATAATTTATTAATGCGTGGCTTCTAAAAACTCAACTCAAAAAAGAGAGAAACTGGTATGAGCTGTGAGTTCAGGCATATCTGAATTCTTCTGTTATATTAACTATTATACCCAATACTTAAAAAGTCACTTAGCCACTTACAGAAGCAGAAAGCACTGTGGGTCTCTTTTTAAAGCTTTTTACTAATGTATCTTAGTGATTAAAAGTTACTTAGGCTAATTGTTGCTTGATTTTTTACACTTTTTCCCCACCTTTGGACTTTTCTTTGCTCATTACTAACTCCCACCAGAGAACACAAAATATCAAAATAAAAAAAATGACACTTTACCATACTATATAAAAAGCTCCCCTTTGGAAGTCAGTTTTCTTGTCAGCAGATAGGTTGAAGCTGTTTAGGACACTAGGAGGAAAAGCAAGTGATTTGGTTCCTGATATATGTAATTAGAGTCATAGTTACTTAATCATCCCCTTTCCTCTCCACTGCCTCTTCAGGACCATGGTTCTTTGGTGAAATTACTAAAGGCAAAATGGGTTGCTGCTTCTCCTTTGGGATCTTTGTTGATGGACATTTCCTACAAGGCAGTGTAACCTTTATGGTTGGACTTCTCCAGGTAAGAAATCAGAAATGTAATTTAAGAACATCTTGGTTTTGTTGGATTAATTGTGTAACACTTAAGAATTAAATCCAAAATCTCAAGTTAAACAACATAGATCATGCTTCCTAATTTGCTGGCGGGCAGTCTAATAACTGGTCTTTTGCTTGCCTTTTAAGCACTTCCTAAGCTCTTTATTCCCCCATTCTCTTATAAACATCTAAAATACCTTTTTTGGCAGGCAGGGCTTATAAGAGGCAAAAGAGGATTTGGTTTTTGTTGTTTGTTTCACTGTGCTTTTCATTGACAAAAAAATAAAATAAAATAAGGGATTTATGGTAGAATAAATGATAGACTTCTGACTATACCAAAATTGATTATGATAATGGAGCAGGAAAGTATTTCAGAAGAAGGGAAGGAAAAATAGACACAAGAAAAGTGGGTCATTTATCCAATGGAAGCTGCACTGGGCAAAACCAGACCTGGCCTTTCTATTAGTAGTATACTTGTTTGGGAAACTCTGATACATTTGGTTTACATTTTGACTGAGATAGCTTTAAAACAAACACACACAAAAAACTCTTACCCATAGCAAATCTCTATAAATAGGTTTGAAAAGTATTACCTAATAATTTATTTTTCTCACTTAATGGGACTAATGGACCAAAATCTGGAGGTGGTGGCCTGAGGTGTTAGAAGAGATCCAAAAACATTGTTCAAAATGAGTTCACAGACTCACAACAGGGTAAATAAAATGTGATAGCAGGGTTAGAGATAAACAAATAGGAAAGACCTCTGCAAATACTGACCATAGGCCAGAACATTCTCTGTAAAGCAGTATTTCATATGTGTGTAGGTCTGGGTCCAGTTAATTTTTTATCATGTGAATGGAGGTTTTCTCTCAGGAGAACTCTTATATTAAGTAAAACCTGAGCCTTAACAAAGGGTGGGTATATATTGATATTTGAATAAATGGTACACTAATAATGGATCTTACCTATCATCTAGTCTCATGACTGTCAAATCTATATCTCTGATCTCGACCTCTTCTCTGCACCTCAAGTGTCTATATAGCCAACTGCCATTTCATATCTTTCCTTAGATATCTACCAAGCATCTCAACAGTTTATAGGACCTTAAATTTCTAACCCCAAACTTGTTACTCTCTAGTTTTTTCAATTTTAATAAATGGTTCCACAATTCATCCAGTTTCTTTAGGATGTATCTTCAAGTCTTCCCCTTCCCTCATACTCTATCTAGTTCATCAGCAAGTAATACCTTGTTTGCTCTACCTCCAATACGTATCTTGAATCCACCACTTCTCTCCATCTCATTACCACCACCGTAGCCTAAGTCAGAATTATTTCTTGCCTGGGCTACTGCACACACCCTCTTACTGGTTTTCCCTCTGCTGCAGGTGCCTCTTTACTGTCAGTTTGCCCCAGAGTAGCCGCTGTAGTACTTTTAAAACCTTCATCAACCCACTCCTTCTCAGCTTAAAACCTTTTTAAGCAGAGCAGTGACATGATCTGGGTCCTGCTGACTGCCCCAATTTCCACCTGGCTCATCCTGTTCTAGGCCATTGGCCTTAATAGGCCAAGATCTCACCCACCTCTGGGCTTTTCATTTGATTCTTCTGCCTGGAATGTACTTCCTCCCTCTGACTCATTCCTGTGCTTCAGGCCTCAGAGAGTTCATCTGCCAGTTACCCTCATGACCCAGTTATTTCCTTTATTGAATGTTTCAAAATCTGTAATTTTATTTCTTTCTTTCTTTTTGATTTCTCCCTGTTAGAATACATGCTCTGTGATGCATCTTTTCTGACTTGTTCACCAGTGTGTCCCAAGCCTAGAGCATAGCAGTGTCTGACACATAATGGGTGATGAATGAATGAATGAATGAATAATATAGCAACTAAATTTGGATTATAACTTAAATCTTCTAATTTGTATTCCAGTAGTCACATGCTACTTCAAATAAAAATACAGAGATAAGAAAAATATTGATACCCAAGTCCCCCCCACCACAACTAATCCAAAAAAGTGTGTGCGTGTATAGATGCATACCTATTCAGTTCATTTCTACCTTAAACATTATTGAGGGCTTCAACATAAATGAAATGATACTTGCCTTTAAAATGAACAAAAGGATACAGGCCAAAATATACAACTAACTACAAGTCAACTGTTGTGTTATAAACAAGTGTGACTGAAACATAAAGAATCAGAGAGTTAACCTCCAAGAGAGAAAGCAACATATTCTTAGGAGCTACCTAATGTGTTAGTGAGACCTGGTCCTGACCCCTCTGAGGGCTTACTAGTAAGCTAATGGTTCTGTTCTGCTCCTCTTTCCAGCTGGCATTCTTTAACATCCCCTTGATGGCTTACCTGTGTTGGAGTTTGCTGCAGCGGTGCTTTGGTCACAACTTCAGGTCTCATCTCCATCAAGGAAAATACTTGAAAATCATACCTGTTCACGTTCTTATGTTACTACTGTACATCTGGCAAATTTGTTCCTGCTACTTTCTTCATATGACATATGGCACTCTAGCTTTTTTTTTCTCCCCTTTGCGGACCTGGTTGACACTGCTGACACCTATTCTCATTTATCGTGTGTGGACACTGAACTCCAAGGAACTTGGAAGCTTTACAGCGCAGTTAAAAAGCCACCTGAGCTCCTGAAGGCCATGTCTCAACCATCCACCTCTGTAGCCCAGGCCTCTGTCCCAGCAGCAGGTAAAAGGCCAGTACTGGTGGGCAAGCTTCAAAAGCTGCTGCTTCTTGGCTGTCCAGGAGTTGGGGGGATTACGAACTACTGATTCCTGCAGAATGGACAGCAGAAAAGTCTCTCAATAATGCCATGATTCCTTCCTTCCTCAAGAAGGCAAAGGATTGATTTACTTTTGTGAAGAGAAAGCCCTATATCTAGATCCACAGGACAGGGGCTGGGTGTGTATGGGCGTATCTGATGCCCAGTGTGTTTTTAGGACTACCTCATGTAAAGTACCTAGCACAGTGTCTGGAACTCAGCAGAAAAGGGTGCCACTTTAGAGGCAGGGAACCTATGCGCACTTGGGCCCGACCCTGGCTACCCTTGCGCTCTTACCTCTCAGTCCCCTTTTCTTGCAGCGTTAGGGGCTCTACTTCCTCTGTCGTGTTTTAAACCAATCAAATAAATGAATGATGAATAAGAAATAACTCCGACTGGGCCTCACGTTTGCAGCTGTGCCTCAAGTTTGGGAAAAGGGGTTGCGGGAAGAGCGGCTTGGCCGGGTGTCTGGGAGTAGGGGAGGCGTGGCCGGACGAGAGGAGGCGTGGCCGGGCCTGTGGGGCGGGGCGGGGCGGGGCGGGGCGGGGCGGGCTGGCGGTTGCCGGAAACGAACCCGGGCCTGTGAGACCCGGAAGTAGAGTGGCTACTGCAGTGCGGCACGGGCAGCCGCTGTGGCGGCTGTTGTCTGCAGGCCCCAGACCCTCGACTGAGAGATGGCGAGTGCAGCAGCACCCGCACGCCCCACGCTGGCTCCGCCTTTGGAGCAGCTGCGGCACCTAGCAGGGGAGCTGAGGTTGCTCCTGCCCGGAGTGCGGGGTGAGCTGACGCTGTTGGGATGGGCAACCGCGGGGATGGACTTCGGGTCAGGAGGAGGCCAAGCTCTGGCGGGGGCTGGGACGGGGGGGCTGGGACGGGGACCGGGCAGGGGAGATGAGGGCTGGAGGTGGCCGCGCTTACCTCTGCTTTTCCTTCTGCCACCGCCCGGCGCACACGCCACACGCACCCAGTCGGTGAAGCCCAGGAGACCACTAAGGAGTTCAATCCCGAGACGTTTTGGATAAGACTCAGTGAGTGCCTCTCCTGCTGGGTACTCCCGCCTCTGTTCTTCCAGCGACAGCGACCCGACCCCTTTCCCTCTCACCTTCTCCCTCCGCATCCTCTGTGGGGGTGCCTCACCACGCCCACCCTTGGCCCCTGAGAGGTTGAAATAAAAATACTGATTTTTGGAGGTGTTTTTGAGACATCTCAGTTGGTAAGAGAAGAGAGGGAACGCATTATCTTTCAAGTCTGTGCAGCAGCTGCAGCCTTATCCTTTTGGCACTAACAGTGGTTCCTGCCTCCTCCCCTCCTGTCACCCCTCCCAGATGAGGCAGCTGTGAAAGTGTCAAGGGAAGCCACGACTCTGACCGAAGTCTTCTCTCGACTTCCAATGCCACTGCCGTCCCCACAGGTGGGCTTTAATTTCCTGGAATCCTTTTGCTGTCTCTTTATTCCTTAGGGATCCTCTTATTTTCTTTCCACATTTTACACTCAAGCCAGGAGATGTATTCTTCTCATCTGTCAAATAAGACTGCCGTTCTCAGGTCACAGAATTATTGGAAAGACCGCATTGCCAAGTGCAGTACCTGGCATGGAATAGGCTGGTCTTCTAAATAGCATCGGTTCAATTTAAAGCTCATTGTGGTTATTTCCTTTCGGATACTTCTTTTAAAGCATGTGCTATTTGTTTTCGTATATACCACCCCATCTGACAGATGAGTAAGCAGGTTCAGAGGCTCAGGTTAAGGTAAATAAGCAGTGGAATTAGAATTTAAATTAATGTCAGCTACACCTTTTTTGTTATGCTACGTAATATCCTTTTTATATTGAATTATGTTTATATTTAATTGGTAATATAATGTATACAGTATAAAATTCAAAAGATATCAAAGTTAAGTGTACTACAAAGTTTACATCTCCCCTCCCCAGTTCCTTTGAATTATTCATACCTATTCTATGCATGTGCACATTTATATATATGAGGTCTGTCCAGAAGATATCCAGCCATGTAATATGAAAAATAGGGACACTGATTGAAGAAGATAGAAGAAATATTGTACATAGGACAATGATGACTCAGTCCCCTTCAAAGTAGGCACTTTGGGACCTCACACAGTTTTCCCAATTGCCATCAGCTGCCCCATCATATTTTCCTAAATCTTATTGAAGGTCTGAAATCTCTTCCCTTTCAAAGGTGATTTTAGTTTTGGGAAAAGCCAGAAGTTGCAGGGCACCAAATATGGGCTGAGTCACCTGGGTTATTTGATGTTTTGCCAGAAAAACCCACCACCAAACATGATGCAAGAGTGGGCATGTTGTCATGTTAAGCTGCCAATCACCAGTTGCCCATAGCTGCAGCCTTCTGAATATCTGAATAGTTTCCGCAGAAGAATGTTCAAGCTTAACTCAAAATTTGATGCAGATTTGTTGTTCTACTTGTTGTGTCATTTGGAATGTGATGCCCACAGTGTATACATGCTCCAATACAGTATTTGAGTATACTCCAATAGAGTATACAATACCTCTATTGACTAGTACAATGAAGTCATCATTGTTCACCCATGTGCACTCCAGTCCACTCTCCTTGGCTGGCAGGTTGTATCGATGTTGTGCAAACCATTCTCTAGATTAACAATGGCTGGACTTTTTCTGGACAGACCTTGTATGCCTGCTTTTTACACAGATGATAGGATGCCATAAAATCTTTTCTGGATCTCTCTTTTTTTTTTTTTTTTTAATTAACAATATAGTTTGCAAATTGATTCTCAGCAGCACATATAAAGTTGTGCACTTCTTTGTAATGGCTGCATGGTATTCAGTAGAGTGCTTATAACCATAATTTATTTAATCAATGCTCTGTGTGGACATTTAAGCTGTTTCCAACTCATAACTGTTATAAACAGTGCTGTAAATTGTCTAAATACATTCTTGGTGTATGTGTGTATACTGGTTAAAAAAAATTCCAGGAAGTGGAATTGCCAGAATTTATGCATCTTTAATAACGCTTTATTATAAAACTAATGAAAATAAACATGTCAACTGTGACCAGCTTTGCTCTGTGCTCAGTTTTTCTAGAGCTAGGTATACTTAATTTGGGTAAGGTTATTTTAAAATGGCATACTCGTTGCCTTATTTGAATTTCTTTGTCAATAGTTTCATTTTCTTTCTCAATTTTTGTATCCAGATGTTTTGAAATGGAAAAATATTCTTTTGCTGCACCTACAATGATAAGCTCTCCCTACATAACTCAGAGATCTGTAATAAGGAAACGAAATTAATTATATGCAAACACTTTAAAAGCTTTGGAAGAAAGTCAATTTTTATTTCAAAAGGAGTAGTAACATTATTTTTCTTATCTCCCAACTCCTTTTTTTCAAATATACTTGGGACTTGCTGCTAAAATTCACAACTAGTAAAATACCATGAGGAGGCAGCATAGAACTATTTTCTGTACATGTTCAGGTCGGTGGTTTCACTCCACTAGAAAATTAGAATTTGATTTTATTTGAATTATATTTACTTGAATCACAATTGATTTCTTAGTCTCTCAGCATGTTAGCCTGACTGAATAATGGTTTTGTTTATTTTTAATTCTAATTCCATATGCACTGGTATTATAAAATGTGTTTGGATATTGAAGCAATGTTGAATTGCCACAAAAGTTTCTGAACACTCTCAATCATTATACTAATCTGTCCCAGACTATAAACAGTTTATGGACTGGTGCCATTCTGTAGAGCACATTTTACATAGCACTGGCTTAGAGTTTAGCAGCAAAGGATAAGGAAAATAAGAGAAAGCCAATGACTGCTTAGAAGGGAAATAGTCAGCACTGAGCATTGTAGAGTCCACTATTACCTTTAGGTATATTGTGATCCTGCTAGAGAAACAGAGAGACTGACACCTGGTTAATGGTCTAAGAGGGATGGCAAACATTTTCTGTAAAGGACCAGATAGTAAATATTTAGGCTTTGCAGGCCAGCTACTCAGTCCTGCCCTCACCGTGTGAATACAACTATAGATGATATGTAAACAAAAGAGGGTGTCTGTGTGCCAGTAACACTATTTTAAAAAACTGGCAATGCACCTGATTTGGCCCACGGGCCATAGTTTGTCACCTCCTGGTCTAAGATAGGGTGACTGTTTCACAGCAGAAATCAAGAATAAGTTTTCCCAGCTGTTTCATAATGTTTTATTGAATTATCAGGTCAGTAACTGGTGTCCACCTAAATCCTCTCTGGTATGCAGTGAGACTAACACAAGGTCTAACTTGTAATAGGACCTCAGAAAGTGTTTGCTATACAGATATCTGCTCTTTTCCACAGTAGAAGGTTGTCTATGTTGATCTAATCCATTTCCTTTCATCATTCTGAAATTGGTCCCCCTCCTCATAGGAAACCCAGAGGATCTGTGAACAAGTTCATGCTGCCATCAAAGCTATTATTGCAGTATACTATTCGCTTCCCAAGGATCAGGGTAAGCTACTATGTACACAGGAGCATTCAAAATAGAGAACAGGTCTTTGCTAATATGACAGCTTATGTCCTGAGACTTTAACTTTTCCTTAATTTGAGTATTCTCTCATAAAATGCAAAGATAACTTTATAATGTAAGTAACCTCTAAATATAAGCCTTTAGATATAGATGCTGTGTCGCCATCTCCCCTGCCTTCCTGACTGTAAGGTGTTTAATTCTCACTGGCTCCTTTCTCTCTAATGCATTCTACCACCACAGAGGCTGACCAGGTCTCACCCCCATCCCCAGGCCCAGGCCATCCCCAGTCTCCACGCATATTCTATCACACCCTGTTTCTGAGTTCCCTTCTACATTAAGTGGCCTCTAGCCTTGCCTGTAGATCTGTGCCTTGATTATAATCATGCCAAAATTATAAATGAATACATGTCTCATAGATCTTCAGGGTTACTCAAAGATGGCTTAAATTCAAGTGTTTTATGCACAGGTATCAAAGGACCACTGTCCTTAATGAATGAATACTTACTGTCATGGAAAGATTTTGTTCTAGGTCTGTTTTGGAGAACAGCACTCAGGAGTGGTAGGAAGGGCAAGAAAACAACGTAGGGCTATAAGTCAAACCAAAGTTTTGCGTGGGCACTCCAGTTAAAGCATGTGGGTGCACATTACCTTAATTTCTGTAGTACTTCCTCTTGGGAAAGCAGATGGTGACTTCTGGAAAGAAGACCAGGCTGCTTATTCTTTGGGTTTGGCTACAGGAATCACCCTGAGAAAGCTGGTTCGGAGTGCCACTTTGGACATCGTGGATGGCATGGCTCAGCTTGCGGAAGTGCTTTCCATCACTCCGGCCCAGAGGTAGTGATGTCACAGTTGGGTTATCGGTTAATGGGGTTCCTTATTTCAGGGAGGGGAAAAA